GGCAACTCCTTTTCAGCCCTTTATGGAGTCTTCAATCAGGTCAGCTGTAGGATGATGAAACCTACTGTGAAGCTGGCGGCGAACCCAGGAAGAAGACAGCAGCAAGAAAACACGAGACCTTATTGCTCTGATACCATGTGAATAAACCCTAGTTGATTCTAGGTCAAAGTAGAGAAGAAGAAAGAAGAAAGAAAAAAACTCTCATATTACATAGATAAACACTCCTCTGTTTGATACAACCAGTTACAATTTTTCCCAAAATAAAGTAGGCCTATCAACTCCCTATTTTGCTAGAGTACCTGCCGTTCCATTTGCTGTCCTTTTAACCCACCCAAATGTAGTGTTAAAACTCTTAGCAAGAATGCCAATCTTCCCTAAATGCATGTCTGTATTTCCATGGTGCTGCTTTTGCTTGCTTAGCCCAAAAGATGACCAAAAGCGACTCCCCTTCCACTTCCAATTTTCTTGCTTCTAATTGTTCTGCTAATTTCAGGCCCAAAAGATAACCATGCTAGATGGGTGGGCAAAATTTCAAAAATTTCCTAATCCCTTTGGGAATCGAATTCCCTATGTTTTGAAAAATTGCATTTTTCAGGATCGGTCTTGCACTGAACTGGACTAGATTTGAAACCAATCAAACAGGGGGATTTATACCTGATACAAATACCAAATGCAGATCCCAAGGTGAAAGTTCACGCCCAAATCAGTCCTAAAACCAACCTCCATTGAAGATGGCGTAGTGTATAGGTCAAGCTGATTCAGCAACACAGTTAGCAAAATTGCAACCCAACTGCTTGGATTGAACTAGGGAAGTTGAGCTTGATATCCCCTGATTTTTTCTTGCAAAAATCAGAGGAAAAACTGATCTATATCAGTCCCAGATAGCTGAGGTCAAACTGGAAAAAAACTGGGAGACAAAAGGGTGCAGAGAACCAAAAACTGCAAAAATATGAAGTTGTCTTGAACTGGTCCGCTCCTCTTTTATAATCTCTTATGGAGCTATCTCCTAATCTAATTAGGAGATAAATTATATCTGGACTCTAATTAGAGATATACCTTATCTTCTTATAAGATTAGGTGTTCCATACCAGATCCAAACCCAAATTTGCCCCATGCCACATGACTACTTAAGTTGTCATGTGATAACTAAATTAATCATATTAATTATGGGCCTTAGACCCATCAAGTATAAGTCTCACGACCCTGGTATTTCATGGCCAACTTAGGCCTGATTTGTATGGCGTGGGACCCCACAATGACCTCACATAAGTCCACACGGGTTTGGCCCAACCTCTGTGGAAAGACTTAGCCGAATTCACTACTAAATGCAGTGAATCCTTGAGCACCTCACTATGGGTCTAACATTTACACTTAAATGATCATTGAATTCAACCATCCTATGAAGACCTAAGCATAATGGACTTAAGTAAGATAAAACCCATCAGGTAATCAGACCTTTATGGTCTCTTACACTTCTTGATCCATAATGATCACAACACTGTCCGATAGGGAAGGACCTCTCCCCTGGCTATAAGGTACAGTGTCATACTCTCTACTTGGATGGATCTCGGGAATTAAAACCTTTTGCAAATATTTTTTCATAAAACATAATATATATATATATATATAATCCTTGAATTCAACCATCCTATGAAGACCTAAGGATAATGGACTTAAGTAAGATAAAGCCCATCAGGTAATCAGCCCTTTATGGTCTCTTACACTTAACTTCTTGATCCATAATGATCACAACACTGCCTGATAGGGAAGGACCTCTCCCCTGGCTGTAAGGTACAGTGTCACACTCTCTACTTGGTTGGATCTCGGGAGTTAAAACCTTTTGCAAACATTTTTTCATAAAACATAATATATATCATATAAATATATTTTGCAAAACCAAATCTCAAACACATTTGAAATCTACTACCGATAGTTTCGGTTTCCATTAGAGAGAGTGTAAGCCCTATCATTCACTTTGTCCGACAAATGGACCTATCCTATCACTATGAACACCTACTCAGTTGAATTCTCAGACTGCCCCAACATACCTAGGTTTTGACCCTCAATGGATCTCACTGATTGGCAAATTTCAAAGACAGCCCAATCCAATACCTAGTACAAAACCATAATCAAGTTTAGGGGTTATGTGTAACTTTCCAGTTTTGCCCATCAATCTCCAAGGTCTAGGGCATAACTAGAAAATGGTCCGGTTTTAGTATTTCATCCAAACACACACTGCATGTGCTTTGGATTTAACTCTAGCAGTTGAGACAAGTTGCCCCAACTTCTTTGGCAGGACATCAGTGTCAGCCTTGGCAGGATAAACTCCCTAAGTCTACTCAACGAATGAGAACATTCTAAACTAACACGAGTCTCATAAGTGTCCAGTTTAAGGGGTAATTTCATAGAAACATGCCAAAATCAATATGAAACAATAATGTATTTTTATTCATTTATAATAAATGTATCTGTACATCAATCTAATTGAAGCTAAGGGCATACACTGTCTAACACACTTGTGAATATTGAGGATTTTTGATTAAGATGTAATTTATCCAACTTATTTAACATGTAATGCTCTATTATTTTTTTATCTTAGATTTTTGCAACATGTTTTTTCATGTTTCTTCCTTCCTTAGTATAACTACCCAAACAACACCTTTTACTTAATGTAACATTATTTGTTTTTCAGATGGTTGACAGATTGGATGCAGGAGCTATACTACCAGAACTTGGTCCACTTGATTATAAAGGACTTTACAAGGCAATATACTGGGCAACTCTATTTTTAAATGGTGGTTCCAAATTCCATCTATTTCATCGCTTTTGACCTTTGACATGGTTTTTCAGGCCGTTGGGAAGGCCCTCTTTAGAGCACATGTAGAGGGTCAGCTTAAGGTAGTTTCTTGAAGCATTTCCATGATTAAATGTTTGGCTTGCAAATCATGTACATAATTTGTGTGGAACATCCATGTAGAGTGAGATAATGTCTGAGCCTGAACGATTTGTAGAGCCTGATCCAGAGCTTCCTTTGGCACTTCTAGATCAGAAGGAGGTTTTCCTTTTAACTTATTCTTCTTGTTTAGCATACCAGCTTGTTTCATATTCTCATTCTTTGTTTCAATATCCTATGTGTCAGGCTGGTAAGCGGCTGCTACTTATCACCAACTCAGACTATCATTATACAGACAAGATGATGCAACATGCCTTTAATAGATTCCTCCCCAATGATATGGGTTGGCGAGATCTTTTTGACATGGTAAATAAATTGTGATTTTGAGCTTGAAAAGCCATAATATTTTCCGGTTTCTTGCTATTTTCCACTCACTATGATTTTAGCTGGATGAACCAATTTAAATATGTTTGTAATAAAAACCTTTGTGCCAATGAAAATTTTGAAAAATTTAGAAACTCATTATGTTTCCAGTTTTTTGTCATCGACTGTTCCGGTTTATTAATCATAAGAAAAGCATAGACTGATATACAATGTATACACTGTTATGTACATAACATTTTTCTGTTTTTTGACATAGAAAATTCATTCTGGAATTTGAAACTTCCCTTTTCAGTTTTCATTTCTGGTTTCTCCCATATTGGCTGTTGCTATCAGCAAAAACAGTAAAGGACATACATTACTGTACATGTGAAAACAGAAAATCTAAATATTTCGTTGCTAAATATTTAAATTGGAAAGATGACAATATGCAGATGAAATGCATTGCATTTTCTGAAAATCATATGTTCAAGAAGATTTGATTCTGTCCTCTAAATCTGATATTAATTTCTGGTTACAGCAACAAAAAAGGAAGAAAGAAAAGAGGAATATAGTAGAAAAGAAGAAGATTGAGAAGAAGAGAAAGGAGAAGAGGGTTCAATGATTTCTCCTCTCTCACTAATCTTTTTTTAATCTAACTTAATTAGGGTTAATTACAAGTCTGCCCTTAAGTGGGCGGCCAGCTCATTAGTAACTTGAAAGAAATTAGAAAGAAGTTAACAAGGCTATAAAGAAAAGGCCCATTAATACATAACAAATAAAAAGAACTCTACTTAGCAAAAACAAGCACTAAGGCCCATTTGGCCCAGTCTCTCTACATTCCCCCTCAAGTTGAGCATATATAATCATGCCCAACTTCCTTATATAGTGTATCGATTTTCCTTTTGGAACACCTTTAGTTAAGACATCAACCAACTTCTCTTCTGAAGCAATGAATGGTAAACAAATTTCCCTTGAAGCAACTCTCTCCCATATAAAATGTCTATCAACCTATATGTGCTCAGTTCTGTCATGCTGAACGAAATTTTGTGAAATGTTGGTAGCTGTCTAGTTGTTACAATCAGTGATTTAAAAGGCGCGCCTAGGTGCTCAGGCGAGGTGCATTTTAGGGTAGGCGCCTCGTCCAGGTCCTAGGCCCAGCCCATTCAAAAGGTGCACCAGGTGTGCACCTAGGCGTGCGCCTGGTGCGCCTTGCGCCTGGTGCGCCTTGCGCCTTAGCCCAGGTGTGCGCCTTTTGAAAATTTGCTGCTTTTTCCTTTTTTTTGAGTTTGGCCGTTGGGCTGGGGGCTTTGCGCCCAGACCCCCATGCCACACCCCTCGAGGCCAATTCGCTTGCTCACCGAAGCTTCGAGAATCCCCCATTTTGGTAATGTTGTCTATTCATTCATCTTAATAAAATATCTTCTTAAAAGCAATTTAAACTATAAAATTATTATTTTTTGTGTGAAATCTAAGAATTTAAGACCCTAGCATGGACTTGTTTGGGCTTCCCTCGAGGGGCGTGGCACAAAGGTGGCTCGTAGAATTAAGAATGTAATATGTCACATTAGCTACTTTATGCAATTGAGAAGTAAAAAAAGAGATTGTGGGCTTTATATACTTGAAAATGTTTTATATGCTTGATTTCATTTTTAAATTCTCATTTGAATATGCTTTACATATTACATTTATGTATTTTAATTTTAGATAATAGGTTTTTTAAAACATTTATTTTAAAATTTAAGTTAATATTTTTATTAATATTATGTTTTATAATTTTTTGATTTTTTTGAATTTTTTGCATTTTATTAATTATTTTTTCATTTGTTTTGAATTTTTAGTTTTTTTTTTTTTTTTTAAGTTGTGCGCCTTACCTCAAAAAGGCGCGCGCCCCGCCTTGCGCCTTGCACCTTTTTTGCACCTTGCGCTTTTAAAACACTGGTTACAATATAGCATAACTATTGGCTTCTCACAGTTAATACCCAACTCTCTCAAAAGTGATCTAAGCCACAATAATTTTGAAATTCTATGTTCCATTGCCCTATACACTGCCTCAGCTGAAGATCTGGATACTACAGACTACTTTTTACTCCTCCATGAGATAATGTTCCCTACCACCAAAGCACACAATCCTGAGGTGGACTTCCTATCATCAATACATTCGGCCTAGTCAACATCAGTGTATGCTTCCAACTCCATATGGCCATGTTTAGCAAACAAATTACTTTTTCCTTGGAGTACCTTTCAAGTAACACAAAATCCTCTTTATAGCTGCTAAATGTGTATCTCTATGTGAATGCATAAACTGACTAATGACACACTACATATGAAATATCTGGCCGAGTCATGCAAAGATATAACAACTTCCCAAGCAGTCTTTGGAACACTCCCCTATCAGACAATTGTTCACCATCAGTAGTAGAAATCTTGTGATTTAAGTCTATTGGGGTGGAGGCCAGTTTAGCACCAAGTTTGCCAATCTTTGTAAGTAGATAAAAAACATACTTGCATTGGGAAATGAAGATACCATCCTTAGATTTAGCAACTTCAATTCCCAACAAATATCTGAGATCTCCCAAGTCTATCATCTCAAACTCATTATCAGTAACCACGTTGTCAACATAAACAATCAAAAAAGTCACCAAGGACTTGCTCCTCTTAACAAATAAAGTATGATAAGGCTGAGTCTGTGTATCCAAAAGAAAAAAGGACAGCCCAGAATCTCTCAAACCAAGCTCTAGGAGACTGTTTGAGACCATAAGGGGATTTCTTTAATTTACACGCCTTGATTTGCATTTCCTTCCCATACACCCTTGGAGGTAAAGACATAGACCTCTTCATGTAGGTCTCCATTCAAATTGGTGAAGTGGCCAAGCAAAAGTCTCCAAGCTATCAATACCATACATCTGAGTATAGCCTTTAACAACCAACTGAGCCTTAAACTTCTCAATAGTACTATCAGAATGACACTTGATAGTGAACACCCATTTACAACCAACTAGTTCCTTCCCCTTAGGCAAGTCCACAATATCCCGAGTATGGTTCTTATGTAAAGCATTTAGCTCAGTCATCATAGCATCTCTCCATTTTGGTCTAGATAAGGCTTCTGGTACGGATCTGGGAATCACATGTGTAGAAACAGAGGTAAGAAAGGAATAATAGGTTGRGGAAAGAAGGTTATAGGATAGGTGTTTGGAGATGCAATGGGTTGTACACTTCCATTAGCCCTTCCGAAGGGCAATAGGAAGATCAAGGTTTGGGAAGGTATCAAAAGGGTTAGAGGACATGTGACCTCAATAGTGATGGGAGGTGCAAGAAGCTTTGTTGAAGGAGTGGAAACAAATTTCTCATACCCGAGTCTTTGTCTTTGATACCACCTTTGGACAATAGGATGTGAAGAAAACGTGGGAGGATGAGCTGGAGGAGGGGGAGCATGAACATGTGAAGTAGGCACTATGGGAGGGTACAATAAAAGTAGATGACTCAACAAAAGACTTAATAGGAACTGGAAGAGGAACAACCGAGGACATAGCAAACAACTTCTCAGAATGCTCCCTCAAGGAGAAGTTCCAAAGAAAGGAATAGACTCAGCAATTGTGACATCCCTAAAAACAAGGCGGGTGCCACGTATTGGACCAAAACAACAATATCCCTTCTGTGTGGAGGCATATCCTAGGAAGACACACTTGTGTGCTTTGGGCTCATATTTGTGTCTCAGATGGCTATGAACATGCACATAACAGGTGCACCCAAAAACTCGGAGAGGAAGAGAGAAGAGACTTCATCCGGAAAAAGAAGGCTAAAGAGGGTTTTGAAACCCAGAACTTGGGAAGGCAAACGATTAATCAAGTATGTAGCAGTAACAACATCCCCTTAAAACTTAATAAGAACATGAAATGCAAAGAGGAGGCTTTTAGCAACCTCAACCACATGGCGGTTCTTCCTTTCCTCCACTCCATTCTGTTGTGGAGTGTAGGAACAAGAACTCTGATGAATAACCCCAAAGGCATCAAAATAGGATGAAGGTTCTTCTCAAAATATTCTTTGGTGTTATCAGTTCGGAATATTTTGATCCGAGTGTTAAACTGGGTAAAAATAAGTTCATGAAATTTTTGCACAATAATTGGTACTTAATCCTGGGATCTCACAAGGTAAAATCCATGTATAGAGAGAAAAATCATCAATAAAAAGGATAAAATACTTGTAACCCCATATAGCAGATAAATGTTTTTTTTTATCAGTAAATATGTATTTTATTGAAATTCAGATTGTAAGTAGTTTATACAACTTGATGATGGGACTGTTTATCCCCTTTAATCACTCTGTTCACCCCTCATTACAGTGTAGCCCAAAATAATTGTTGTCTCAATGCCCCTTGTTTTGCTAATCCATCAGCTAGCCCATTTGCACTTCTTCAGACCCATTCAAATTCAACCTCAACCTCCTTTGCAATTTTCTCCACTTCCCTAATCACATGTTTAAACATCCATGGGGTGTGGCTGCTATTTGTTGCCCATGACATGCCTGCACCCTAGTTGTTTGGCTAGATTTACCCCTTGTAGTAATGGCAATAGTTCAACCTTTAGCGAGTTTCCGTTGCCAATCGGTCCTGAGAACATACCCAATATCCTTTTGTCAGAATTTCTTAATACTCCTATTCCTGAGATGCCTGGATTTCCATATGAGCACCCATCAAAGTTCAGCTTTACTTTATTGCCTTCAGGTGGTTTTCACTCCAGCCTTACTTTATCTCTTACTCTCGAAGATTGTGCTACTTTGGACCATGTTCTCATATAGCAGATAAATGTTATGGCCCCCATACATTAGAGTGCACAATATGGAAATGAGAAATTGATCTTTTGTTCTTTTATTACTCACTTAATAGGACTATCTACAATGTTTTGCAAGTTCACATGACTCACAATGAAGACTAGACAAAGATATTCCCTTAAACATATCGGGAAACAAATGTCTCAAAGTAGAAAAAAGTAAATGACCAAAAACACAAATGACATAACATGACTCTATCAATTGACTCTGATAAAACAAACTCTAAAGCTACTTCATTAGGTGGTTCAAGACTTCTATCAGGTGTATCTAGCAAGTATATTCCATTCGCCTCATGGTTAATTCCAATCATCCTCTGAGATTTTAGGTTTTGGAAAATACAATGAGTAGGAAAGAAAGTTATGCTACAGTTCATTGATTTAGTCATGCTACTAACAAATAAGAGGTTGGTATTTAACTTAGGGACATGAAGAACAAATGATAAAACAAGGGTGTTAGAGGCTTTAGTATCTCCTTTGCCAGAGATGGGAGCAAGAGACCCAATATAACAAGGGATATCTGATGCGTATTTGCTACACTAGCAAGTGCACTAGCCACACAAGTAATAGAGTGATGAATAGAGTGTCATTTCTTACGAGGACTTATGCAGCAACTACTAGTAGTATATCAGCCTACTCTTATCTGATTAGCCGAATTGTAAATTTAATGCAAAACTGAAATCCTAACTAGCAAATTACCTTTAACATGTTGGATCAAATACCTTGCAAGCAAATTGAGAAGACAAGCTAACTATGCACAGAATTGATTCAGCAATTAGATCTCTAGATCATTCGATTAGATTAGGATTCAGCCTTGGTTTGGTGAAACCCCAAGGCAATGAACAACCTCTCTCAAGCGCATGTTCATTCTATGCATGAGTGATGATTCTTCTATCTCTAGCAAGAATCTAATCCCCATGTATGCATTAAGATCTAGAAATTCTAGGGCATCATTTCAGATTGAATGATTACCAACCGAATTGTGCAGGTTATCTCTAACTTTGCACTCAATTCGGTTCTTGATTAACAGATCCGAATTTCTAGACTCTTTCTCAAGCAATCTAAAAACTCCAAGAAAGAAGAACAGTTCGACCAAACAGAATTGAGATTGCCTAAATTCTTTTTCAAACAATTCAGACATTACAAAGATTAAGATCAATTCGGCTAGCAGTTCTAACAATTAAATTTCTAATCAAGAAACATCAAAATTGAATCTAATCCATTCGAATAACCCTAGAGAACTAATTATAGATCTGAATTTACATGAAACATCATTCAATTACAGCAAGAAAGATTGAATTAATGGAGAAAATAAACATGAAAGCCCTAGCTGAATTCGATTACCACTTGTGCAGAAATCAAGGAAGAAGACAACCTAGATTGATCTCTTCCAATGGCTTCTTCTCCAAATTCGAAATCAGCTTCTTCTTCTCTTGAATATTCTTGAATCTTCTCCTTTCTTCTCCTCTCTTGCGCCTATCTTTCTCTTCTCCCCAAAAGGTTTTTGACCCCTTTTCCCCTCTTCCTCTTCTCCTTTTATAGCTTTCTCTTCAACTCCTTTCTCTCATCTAAAAAGTTCTCTCATCCAGAAAGTTTGGCGCCTTTAGCTTCTCTTGATCCTTCTAGAAGTTGCTGCCCCTAGCTTCTTTTGGGCTGCAATTTGGGCTGCTCTTGAGCTGCAATTTGGGCTGCTCTTAAGCTGCAAATGGGCCTCCTTGCTGGGTCGAATAGGCTCCCTTGGAAGGCTGCGAATGGGCTCTCTCTTTTGGCTCTCCCAAAGAGTGCTGCATGGGCTTTAAGGGCCGAATAGCCCTCCTTTGACCTTTCGGCTGGGCCTTGCTCCCAGCTGGCTGTATCACCTTCAATTTGGCCTCCTTTAGCATGGTTTTATGCTCTCTTTCCCTAAACTTGTCCCCTTTGACAATTTCCTGAAATCAAGCTCAATTGGGCTAAGAATTCACACAAATCAGCATCAAAACAATGCATAAACACCAGAATTTATATGTAAATTGTGCACACATCAATATCTTCTCTCTACTAGAGAGGAGTTGATACGAATTAAAGAGGTTAGATGTGCTGGTCATATGGTTTGATGCACCAGAATCAATAATCCAAGGGATTTTATAATTATCTAAATAGTAGCATGACTTTTAGAAACACGAGTACCCGAGTGGGAAAATGTGGATAAAGAGGTATTGCCTGAAGAGTTGGATGTTGCAATAGTTGTCTCCAAATGATTAATTGACCTCTCGTACCTTTCAAAATTTGCCTTTACTATTGTCATCTGCTTCTAGTTGATTTCTCTTCAGTTAACCTATTTCCTTCTTCAGGTACTATAGCAACATTTGCATTCTTAGGCTTCCCTATCTGGCCATTCTTCTTAAGATTATTGTTATTGTTGTTTCGAAACCTTTCTAAGAGAAGATTTTGATAAAGTTTCCAACAAGTATCCTTAGTATGTTTCGGTTTCTTGCAGTATTCACATATCACTTCTTTCTTCTTATTCTACCCTTTTGGATTTATCCCAACATGTGCAAAATGCTCTAAAGGTGGTCCTTATAATTGTACTTGCCACCTACTTTCTTCACTACTCACCATAGGATATGTTTGAGCAAGAGTGACTTCATCTTTGGCCAGAATATTCTACCTAGTAATGTCAAACTCAGAGGTGAGTCCTGTAAGAAACTCAAACATTTTGTTTCTTTCTACCAGTTTCCTTAATGTCTTTACATCCTTGGTGCTCTCCCACACAACTGTCTCCATAATATCAATCTCCTACCACAGTGACTTTAACATGGAGTAATAAACCTTCACACTCTTCAAGTTTCTTCTTATTGCTTGTGAGATACCCCAATTTACCTCTATTGCAAACATAAATCCGTATAGATTGTGCCTAGGCTAGGTAATTTGTTCCATCCAATTTAATTGTAGTCACACCAATCGAAAAGGAATCTACTGTACCAACCTCGGATATTGGAATCTGTTTCATCTCACTTCCAGATTACTCCATTAATAAAAAAAAATCAAGAAAAATAAGTTTTTCAGTCTTTATGGACCTAACTGAGGTTAGTCCCATACCCAAAGGTTCAAAAACTAGGGTTTCACTGTACCCAACTGCTTGGGAGAAATGGAGAAGCAGACACTCCTACCGAAGCTCTCCAAACTTCTTCCAACCTCAACCGCCCACTTTTGGAGATCAAAAGGAAGCCCCCAAGTCTTGAGCGCGACACCCAATCCTTCTCTTTAACTTGTAACTGGAAATCTTTAGTTGGCTAGGGTTTTGGGCAAAAAACAGCAGCTTCACTTCTTGGCAATCTACAACTAGATTTTGACTCTCCAAACCCTTTACCAACTAGGCAAAAAGTCATCTGATTAATCAGAAACTTATCTCTCCATACACTTCTAATCGAAGGGTGTATGGGAAAAGGAAGAAGAAACAAAAAAGGAAGGACTGCTCCAATACCAAGATGTGATTTTGTCCTCTAAATCTGATATTAATTTCTGATTATAGCAACAAAAAAGGAAGAAAGAAAAGAGGAACACGGCAGAAAAGAAGAAGAGAAAGGAGGAGAGGATTCAATGATCTTTTCTTCTCTCACTAATCTTTCATTTATCTAACTTAATTAGGATTAATTACAAGTCTGCCCTTAAGTGGGCAGCCAGCTCATCAATAACCTAAAAGAAATTAAAAAGAAGTTAACAGGCCCATAAAGAAAAGGCCCATTAGGCATTAACACATAACAAATAAAAAGAACACTACTTAACAAAAACAAGCACTAGGGCCCATTCGGCCCAGTCTCTCTACACAAGATAATGAAGATATTTGTGAAATTGCTTGAGAAAGATCTTTTAGTCATTGTTTTAAAAGTCAAAAGGACAACTATAGCACAAGGGGTTCCTAGAGTCTGAAGCACAAGGAGCAGGGTGAGGTGGTGAGGTGTATGCCTCAATGAAGTGAGGTGACACTTTTTGCAAAAGAAAAGTAAAAAACTTAATATACAAGAATATGTTAGTCTAAATTCTGGAAGAAATAAACATTTCAAACATCCTATTGTTTATTTGATTGGTTAGAGTATCATGTTATTATCACAAAGGTTGTAGTCTTGCATGTTCAGGCCCTACATGGCTAAACTGTTTAAATAATAAGCATCTTATGTAGAACCTAAAAATATTAGTAAATTACGTATTCAACATCAAATTGAGGCAAGGCATATCCCACAAATTGAGCTTCACCTGTGATCCTAAATGTGCCTTGGTGTGCCTTTTATCATACTTCTTTTAATCTATTTGTTTTTATGTAGGTCATAGTCTCAGCAAGGAAGCCAGAGTTCTTCCAAATGTCACACCCAATGTATGAGGTTGTCACTAGTGAAGGTTTAATGCGCCCATGCTTCAAGGCCCGCCCTGGTGATTTCTGGTTTATTTTGTCATGCATACTCAGTCTTGGTTTATTTGTCATAAAAGATACACAATCATACTTTTTGCACATTTCCCCTGAACTTCTGATATAATGTCATACTCTCATATCAATACAATACCTTACCATTTCAAAAAGAAGAAATCAGGAAACAATACAACCACTATGACCCTCTTTCCTTCAAGTTGAACGAAGATCGGGGATAACAGATAATTGTTCGTACATATCCCCTTCACTGAAAAATATAACAAAACAATAGGAAGTGCCGAATACCCTCTCTAGCTAGGTTGTTTTTTGTTGGTTGTCTTGGTACCCACGTGAATGAGCAGTTCATCCCAGTTGCTAAAGATTTGGCTTCCCTTATTGGGTGTCTAAAGATCCAGTGGACTTGAGCTAAAGAATGCATCCAGCTGATGACTATTTTGGAATTCCGTTCTACTTGGGAAGGGGAAGGAATACAAAAACTTTTTTGAGAAGGAAAAAAGCAGGCAGAGATGAAGGAATGTGTAACAACTAGGTTGACATATTGGGTTAGAACAATGGACATTTTTTCACAATTTTTCTTTGATGATATATGGAGGAATTGGGGCTAGGTGGAAAAAAGCTCTTCAAAAAATAAATTGTTATCTTCTTTTTGGTCACCTCCTATGAAGAATTCATCAAACTAAATTTTGATCGAAGCAACCATGGCAATCCGGGTCTCTCTAGAGTAGGGGGTGTATTTAGAGATAAAGACGGTCATCTTTGTTCTTAGGACCACTTGGTGTGGGGAACTCTATTAGGGCTGAATTACTTGCTGTAATTCAAGGGGTGCTGACAGTAAAGGACTTGAACATGGACAAGTTGATTGTTGAAGGGGATTCCAAGGTGGTGATAGGATGGTTAAAAAAATATCGGCTAATGGAATAGCTGATAGCTAAGCAAGGGGTTAATAGGGTCATTTAAATTGGTCTCAGTTGTAATCTTTTTTTTTTTATGATGTTATTTATGTGTGAGGTTTCTTCCTGCACCTCTCCAGGGATGTTTGTACTGCTTGCATATATTGATGTTTGTTCAATAAAATTTAAAGTTGCTTATCAAAAAAATCCCCTTCTACTTGAATTTCCTTCCATACTTGACTTGAGATTGCACTAAGGCTGTAATTTCTGCTCTAATAAAGTGCCCTGCACTTATTGAGCTTGATTTCTTTCTGAGTTCCTTCTGTCACTTGTTATTTCTTTATGTTCTCTCCTCTCAATGCTATTGATCCTTTGATTCCTTTCTAATGATGCTTGGTTCAACATGCATCCAGCATATATGAAATATGACTATCCCTGTTTGAACTTCATCGATAAGTTCCATGATGTTGAATGTGCATATCTTCAGCTGAATCTGGAGAAGTTTTGACTAGGGCCTGCAAATTTCCTTAGAAGGATGAGAGTCATGATGGTTTTTATGATGAGATATACTGTTTATTGGCTAAGAAAATGTTTTAACAATTTCATTTCTCATTATTTTCTCTACAGGGGCCTTGTATTCTGGGGGAAGTGCTCAGATGGTTGAGAGTTCCCTCAATATTCATGGAGATGAAATATTATATGTTGGTGACCATATTTATACAGACGTGAGTCAATCAAAGGTCCATCTACGATGGCGAACTGCACTGATTTGCCGGGAACTGGAAAAAGAGGTTAGACCATATATTTCCTTTTGTCTGATGAGCTATGAGTCACATGTTTTACATGTGCTATGTCCTTTGGATTAATAAAGCAGGTCCTATCATTTTTTTTTCTATGAATAAAGAAGATTTTATTACTTTGAAAGATAATGGAGAACTTTGAACACATACAACAGCCCATGGAGAAGTGCGTGCTACAGTACCTATCATTTAGCTTGCTTGAAACTACAAGTATGATAAATTTTATTCCCTGTTGAAATTCAACTATTACCATCACCAAGAAGCAAAATATTTTTAAAAGACATTCTTTTGAAAATATTGTTACAAATAGGTCATGCATGTCCTAGTGTAATTGTAATGTTAAAGAATTTAATACATAGGGGGTACTTTTGTCTAATTGTCTCTTAAAAATACTTACTGTTTGATTAGTATCCCCCTTGTCAATAGGATATCCTCAAATCATTTTCCTCATTTTTGTTTCCTTCTCTTTTTCTCCATTGATTATTTTGACATCTCAAGTCTATTGGTTCTAATTGACTGCTTTGCTTCTTGTGCTGTTGAAACTTAAAATTTCAGTACCATGCTATGATTCGTAGTCGGGATCATCGAGTAGCACTTATTGAGCTTATAAATCAAAAGGAGGTTGTAGGGGATCTTTTTAATCAGCTTCGCCTTGCTTCACAACGCCGGACAAAAGGACGCCCTGCTCAGGTGATAATAAGTTATTTTATGTTATTTTCTCATTGTTCTAATGCTTATCTTTTTCTATTTTTCCTTTCATTTAGAAATATTCCATTATTTCATTGTTCTGTTGGTTTATAAATTATCTCAAATACTTAAAAGAGATGGTATATATAGGGGTGATTGCTTGGTGTAATGGTAAAATCTTGGGCTGACAAGTGTGAGTGTGGATTTGACTATGAGAATAGCCATTTTTGTGCAAAAAAATGCCCAAGGTTAGG